TTCTTCTTCTTCTTCTTCTTCTTCTTCTTCTTCTTCTTCTTCTTCTTCTTCTTCTTCTTCTTTTCTTCTTCTTCTTCTTCTTCTTCTTCTTCTTCTTCTTCTTCTTCTTCTTCTTCTTCTTCTTCTTCTTCTTCTTCTTCTTCTTCTTCTTCTTCTTCTTCTTCTTCTTCTTTCTTCTTCTTCTTCTTCTTCTTCTTCTCTTCTTCTTCTTCTTCTTCTTCTTCTTCTTCTTCTTCTTCTTCTTCTTCTTCTTCTTCTTCTTCTTCTTCTTCTTCTTCTTCTTCTTCTTCTTCTTCTTCTTCTTCTTCTTCTTCTTCTTCTTCTTCTTCTTCTTCTTCTTCTTCTTCTTCTTCTTCTTCTTCTTCTTCTTCTTTTTCTTCTTCTTCTTCTTCTTCTCTTTTTCTTCTTCTTCTTCTTCTTCTTCTTCTTCTGCTTCTTCTTCTTCTTCTTCTTCTTCTTCTTCTTCTTCTTCTTCTTCTTCTTCTTCTTCTTCTTCTTCTTCTTCTTCTTCTTCTTCTTCTTCTTCTTCTTCTTCTTCTTCTTCTTCTTCTTCTTCTTCTTTTCTTCTTTCTTCTTTTTCTTCTCTTCTTCTTCTTCTTCTTCTTCTTCTTCTTCTTCTTCTTCTTCTTCTTCTTCTTCTTCTTCTTCTTCTTCTTCTTCTTCTTCTTCTTCTTCTTCTTCTTCTTCTTCTTCTTCTTCTTCTTCTTCTTCTTCTTCTTCTTCTTCTTCTTCTTCTTCTTCTTCTTCTTCTTCTTCTTCTTCTTCTTCTTCTTTTTCTTCTTCTTCTTTTTGTTGGACTTTGTTCTCGTTTTCTATTTTTCTGTTCTATGTCTCCTCTTTCTTATTCTTCTCCTTTCTGGACTTCTCTTTTGTGCATGGCTTGTTACAGAACTTGCCTGTTTGTCTGCAGAATGGCTCCAAGTTCTTTCTAATGTGTGCATTCATATTCCATGATTCACTACTATACAGCAGTATAGGTTCTACAAAACATTTTACTACTCTCTTTTGAACAAACACAGAGAGTGACCTACTAAAAAAAGGTTTACATACTGCAGCTTTATGAAAAATGCATCACGCAATTCAAGCCTACAGGAAAAAAAATTGTAGCAATATTCTAATGTTATTCAGCAACAATTCATGGTCACGATGATGTATAATGTGTCTGTCATTTGGCAGTCGAATGCGTCTGCCAAAGAAGGTATGATAACACAACAGATCAGAGACACCGAGAATGAGAATGAGTAACGGCTCCATATGGCAGCAGAACAGTCACAGCAAGCTGAGTGGCTCGGCCACAAGAACGCCAGGACACGAGAACTATCCTGGGGTGACATTTGGCGAACGGCTCCACTGTCAGTGAGGTTTATTATCAGCTCTGTGTACGATGTGCTAACCTCAGGTGCCTTGTCAAATGGCGCGCTACCAAGGACCCGACAAATCCCTTGTGCAGAGCGAAGAAGACGCTCCAGAACGTACTGTCCGTATGCAGGAAAGCCTGAGGTGCCACCACAAAAGAGTCATGAAAAAGTAGGCCGACACTGCAACAACAAAAAACCCGCACCCCCACCCCTCCCCATGATCTTCCTCAAGGCTAGGCAGATATTTAGGGGACATTCGGAGACGTACATATGCTCCATACATTCTGGCGGTTTACCTGTCTGGTTTTGAAAGGTAAACGAGACCTGAAGACTGGGCTGAGGTCAGACACGGTGTTTCACTCGGCGGCAGAGTGTCCGCTCATACTGATAGAGCTGAGAGTGTCATTACATTATCTTCTTCTTCTTCTTTTTGTTGGACTTTGTTCTCGTTTTCTATTTTTCTGTTCTATGTCTCCTCTTTCTTCTTCTTCTCCTTTCTGGACTTCTCTTTTGTGCATGGCTTGTTACAGAACTTGCCTGTTTGTCTGCAGAATGGCTCCAAGTTCTTTCATACGTGCTGTTGTTATTATATGGAGCATGCTTTTGTGGAGCCTTATACAGTTACTGTATATCTGGCTACTTGTTCTCTGTCCATGTTTGTGCTCCTAAAGCAGCGGTCATCTCCATGCTCATGATCGATGTAGTTCGGGTTGACAGTAAAATTAACTAAACTAAACATAAAGGAAATAATGAATAGTTCATCGAAACAGTCTCATTCATTGTATTAAAGACGACTGAAAAGTTCTGTCATCCGTGGCAGGAGTGTCCCATTTCAAGACGCATCTTTTAATGCCATCTATAGCTTTGTGCGGATTGGTTGTAAACGTCGGCCGATACCCACATGCACGCCTTGACCTGTGCAATATTGTGTCTGGCAGCCATACCTCCCCCTTGTTACTGTTGTGTAGTTAGTTCATGTCGAGTTCATGCCCCATCTGAAACATGATTTGTGTGTTTTGTACACTTTATTCTTCTCCCCCATTTCGTTAAGCTTTTTAATCATAGTTAAGTAAAAGTAAAGGACCCTTTTCCACGCATCAAAGCGTATTGAGAATATAGGACTAAACCGACATTGTAAAGACCATCGGCACTTGGTGGCTTTTACTTCCTAGGACTGTATCTTGTACCCCGCTGAAGGCTGGGTCGACCTTGAAGCCAAGGTCTATGTCGCAATGCGTGGATAGATGATCTTTTGTACAGCTTTTTACGGGTTTCAGTACCTTATTTTATACTCGATCCTGTCTTTCTAGCTATGTTCTGGTAATAATGAGAAGGCCTAGAGCAAAGTCTGTGAAGCTTAACACAAGTTCCTGATATCTTCTAGTGCTCTGATAAGGGCCCTTTGATTTATTCGTGTCCACGCACTAAATCTCTCTGTGTTGTTCTCGCCCCTTGTTGTGATTAATGATGTTTTATCCGTTGATAAAGACATTGTCCTATCAGCTAACTTGGTCTCATCTGTGAAGGAAAAGATAAACTGTACACCTAGATTATGTGTGTATGTGTATAATTAACTTTTTGAAGACGAGTCGCCAGTTAACTGGCTTATGAATTTATCCCTATCGTATGTTTGCCAGTATACTGGCTTATCATAGAGACACTCTAATTGTATTCTGTTTGTAGGGCAAACGTACATTTTTTACCAAGTTTTTCAAAAATTAGGATTAACAAACGGATATCCTTTTCTATGCGATGTCCCACGCGACTGTTGCGTTACTTTATGAATTTGTTTAAACTATTTATTTGTGATACATTTCTTATCTGATGTTTCTATACTAAATGATAAGGGAAAAGGATTAGAACTCGTCATACTGCTCTGTCGTGGATGAATCTCTGCCATGTGGTGACAATAGTTGTGATATTATGACTGATATCTAAGAGACAAAACTATTGACGATAATTTAGTTTAGGATATGAAAATTGAACACAATATTTCAATCGGATCATCTGTTTCGATCAACTGTTTTCCTGATATTCAAAAGATCATAACATCCAAAGTATTTAAATAAATTGTTTCAAATAAATGGCTGATACATAGATGAACAGAGAAGGCATGTGCATTCTTAGAATTGGATAGCAGTATTATTAAACAAGTGAAAAAGTGAGGTAAGCACACAATTGTGTATGTAAATAATCTGTGCATGTGTCCAACACCCTTGAATTTTGGGCGATTTTAATAACATTTTACTATAATACTCACATTTAAATACTTTAGATTTATTCTGCTCTCACTTATCTTTAATTTTATATATAATATGTCCCGATACGGCCAATATTGTTTTCTTCAGGAACGTTTAGCTTTGTCGTGTTGCAGTAAAAACAAAAACCCGGTCAACATTAAGTATGTCCATACTCCAGAAAAAAATGTGTCCTGAAAGAGTTAATAAATTCACTGACCCATAACTAAAAAGCTTAGCGACAGGGAATGGAGAAGAAAGCACACACACAGAACACAAAGACGTTTCAGTCGGAGCCATTGTAGACATCAACCACATCCACAACAAGAGGCAGGTATTTACGACCACCGGTCCCACCACAGGGGAGTGGGGGGGGGGGGGGGGTCATGTATGTATGTAAGTTGTACCCCACCAGGACATCACACTGAGCGATAAACACCCAGTGACACAAAGTGCCATTATGCGGATAAGTATTACCCGTGGAGAGCAGTTGCCACTTTGGATATTTTACATCCAGATTTAGATGTTTTCCCTTGCATTTAGATGGCGTTTTAGATGTTTAGATAGTAGATGTTTTTCTAGAAGTTTCCATACTTCTTCCTCTAACAACCACTGCAAACAAGGAAGCTAAGTGGTCTCGAGGTATGGCATCCGCATCGAGTGCTGGATTTCGCGGATTCAAATCCCAGTGAATGCTGTGATTTTTTCACATGGACTTCTGATTATTTCCCCTGGTCTCTAGGTAGGAAGACAGGACGCCTGTTTGCATTGTTATTCCGTAAAAATAATCAATTGGCAGTTTAAAATTAACAATAGTAGCCTAACGGAGCTGTCCGGGCAAAATTTACAGTTAAAAATCTACCTAAAGTGTTTCAGGATCCTCGCCGGTGCAACAGAAGTTCGCCACTTTGGATATTTACACTGCGCTGAGTTTTGCATTTAGAGCGTTTTAGACGTTTAAATGAGGTAGAAGATATTTTTAATTTGAGTGAATTTATCAAATCTGAGCCGATAATTGCAAAACAACTGGACGTAATTTGCCAAGGGAAACAACACAACAGCCATGGGTTGCTGGGGTTGGCTCTGCAACGTCCTGTAAAGGATACGCAACTAACCTATATTTAGGTCAACCAGCAAAAGCCAGGGTGGGCCTTCAAAATTACTAAAAATGTCATCCCGCGTGGGGACGACAGTGTGTCATGTGAATAACCATAAAATATAGGAAGACGAAACGGTATCCGGCTCAAACATGTTTTTTATTTGTGCGTGTGTGTATGCGGCTCCACCTACCCCCTTTTACCAAGCTTCTTAGTCACAGTTTCGTGAAATAATTAACTGATATTAGCTTAACTGGGTCACATCTGTCTTTATCACCATCAGAGAGTTTCTCTCGCTTACAATCAAACTAATGTTTCGAAATCTTGAGACTGTTTGACTTGATGGTGCCCTCAATCCAGGGCATCAAGACTGTGACACGGGCGTAGACACCAGGCAGGTTTGGTTGGGCACATCCTCCTCCCCAAGATACTATACCATACAGCCAGTAATACCCTGCAATAAACAGATTCATTCAGATATCACACATATTTTATTAATGTAGTTTTCAACAGTTGAACTGACAGTTGTATCTATATACCCTGCCTGCTTCTTTAATCATTCTATACCTAATAATTTATAATACGCTGGTAAGCCATATGGCAGCGGGGCTAGATATGCGTCAAAGAGGGCTGTGTAGTCAGGAGTGCTAGAGGTTCCAGGTTCAATTCCCGGTAAGGCTTGTGATTTTTCACGTGTACTTGAACTTCTAGTAATTTCCCTGGTCGCAGGGTAATGAGATCAGAAGCCCGTGTGCATTGTTGTGAACGTAAAAAAAAAAAAAAAATCCTTGGCAGTTTGAAATCGAAAACAGTAGCTTAACGGCGCTACCCGAGCACTGTGCTGAGCAGCTTTGGACTGAGACTTGAGTTTGAAGAAGAACCGAACACTTGTGAGTTACCACCCGTGTGCTATGATATTATCCGTTGTTCAAACGCGACCCCATACATAAGCTCCTTTCATCCCAGGCGTTGTTTTTCGACGCTTCCCATCCAGTATATTTGTATTTTCGAGTAACCTTCTAGCGGCCCCACTGAGTTTATCAACTAACGTATAAGTTGATTGGCACCGAACGAGTTAACAAATGTATCTTGTCTTTCTTATTGGGCACTTTAATTCTAACTCAATAAGACCGCTAGATGGTTACTCACTAGTACAAAAATATCAAGATCAACCAGAAACAACAAATTACACATGTATATGTAGTGCTGAGATTTTGTTTTCCAATAACAAAGTGAAGACAATTATTTTAATGATTAAGTAAGGAATTTTGAATCTATCCCGGGCGCGTCGGGTGATAAATCAGTTGTGTGTTTGGGCGCGAACCCGCCTCCAGAAAACGTAAAATGAGTACCAATTCCTGTCCTCGGATGTAAAGGTGGCCGGCCTGATGAAAATCACACGAATCACCGAGTGCCAAGAGTGTCTAGACTCCCATAACCAAAGCGCATCATTTACCCAAGATGCTTTTTTTTCGGATTATAATCCAGAAAAGGGGGAGGGGGTTTGCGTAGAAAAGTGGTCAGGTCGTTTGCCTCGCGCTCTAAATGTTGTGGATTCATTTCACGTCGCGTCATTCAGTTCGTCAGTGAAATATTTACGGACAGCCGTAGCGACCGTCACAGAGTGTGCTGTGTGCGACGCTCTCAGGTGGCGGCTAGTCGTTCTGCGGAGAGCGACTGGGCCTCATGGAATTAAACCCAGTGCCTTCAAGTCGATCCTCTTGACTTAAACTCTAAAAGTGCGGATGACACAGTTAATTGTGGTTCACAGCTAGACGGTGATATCTACGCCGTTATGTTTAACATATCTAATAAGCGCAAATCCTTAATGTCGCATTTTACGACAGGCTAGTTGGAGAGATGAGGAAGTAGTAAGTCTATTGTTTTCTGTTTCACCTTCAAATGGGACCCTGCAACCCTCACAAGAACCCAATCAAAGCACACACAAAATACAAACTTTACAACAAAATGAACATGACCCTTCTCCACGCTGGTATGCGTATTGGGTATATACTGCTAAACTTTTTTTTTATAGACCAATCAACACTTGGTGGTATGCAGCGCGCTGGTCGCCTTTACTTCTCAGGACTGCACATGGTACACACTGAAGGCTGTCCCACTTGGAGCTAGGGTCATTTTTAAAGAAATCCCGCCAGGACTTGAACCCACTAAATTCCGATTCGCAGTTGAGTGTCTAGATGCTACGTAACGGAGACTCCTGGGGCCCAAATAACATGTTAGAAAATGTTAAACGACTTATGCAACAACTGAATCCCATAGTTAGGAATACCTTCAAACTCATAGACGACGGGACCTCCACTGTCCCCTCTACACGAGTCAACTTGACGATCAGCATAGCCAGCACAAAACATTCGGTCAGTTATTTTCTCATCGTAAAATCGTTGGCACTTGTCCTGACCGATGAGAGAAATGCCTGCCTTCACCAGTACATCCGACACTTTCTGTGTTCCTGCAAAGGAGATCGTCACATTTATCGTGTCGCCATTGTCTCAGATTTCGTAAATATGTTTCAGAAAATCGCAACAGATAGTGTACGCCTTGAATGGGTTAAAATAACTCGGAAATTGGGCCCTCTCTTCGCCATCACCTGGATATACAGCTACTTCGTAATTTGCATGGTTCGACATTTTGAGCTAAGAATTTAATTTGGAATATTTTTTTACTGTCACCACTGTGGTATTGTGAACTGTAGATTCAGAAAATGGGAAGTGGCCTATAGTCACAGAGTTGGTGGTGCCTGATGTAATTAAATTTAATCGCGTCAGCAACTGCTGGACTGTTGTGTAA